ATATGTGCTCTTCGCGCCAGTGCCAGTGTGGCAGACGCTCGTCTGAAACGCAAGATGCATTTAGAATACGCCAATTATAGGCCCGAGCCCGATTTCGGAGGCAATGAGTGCTCTATGCGCCAGCCATTTAAGAATTTTGTACCTTGGCTACGCCTGTAGCCGCGAGTTCACGACAGGTCGAGGCCGCCAACTCGCCCACTTCCCCGTTACTGATGAGGAGCCCATCGCCAACAGGTTGTCCCTTCGCACGACGTTCAAAAACGTCCACGGCGTATGGGCAATCCTGCCGAAGGGGAACCTCAAACTCCCATGAGTTCCACGACTCGGGATATTCCCGCCCCTTCACCAGGTACTGGTTTTGACCATGGCGGCGACGCTTCTGCAACAGACGTTCCACATGAAACTGAAGGTTCCCCTGCACATACAGAAATGACGGAGGGGGCCGGTGTATCGGCACAAGCTCCTGCCAAGCTTCTTTAGGAGGTGAAGTATCTTCTTGAGACTGTGCAGCAGAAGTATACTCGCCTCGAGTCGTTGGAGCAGTACGGACCCGAATGGAGGGGCAGCTTGACCTCTTGGTGCAGATTATACGTCCTGCGACAGTGCCGATGAGCTCGGCGCGAGCGCCTTAGTATTCACTTGGGACGACTCCCGATATGGTTTGAGAATGCCGACGTAGAACACGGGGTGTGTACGCAATTTGCGCGGCAGATTAAGTGTATGCGCTAGGCCTCTCTTGGCCACGACCGTAAAGGGTCCGATGAAGCGCGGGTGCAACTTTGTCTTACAGACAGCAGACACTACATTTGTAGGCAGGTTTCTAGCATTAAGTTTTACTTGGTCTCCGACCTCATAAAATCAATACAGTTTTTGCCTTTAGCTTCCGCATATTCCTTATGTTTGTCTTGGCTATCAGCCATTGCGTCACGCTCATGTCGTAAGACATTTAGTTGCGTCGCGAGAAGCGCGTTCACCTGTTTCTTGACAGTATCAGGGCTGACATCAGCAAGCCGATCAGCAACCTCTCCCCCACCAAGCCCTGAACCACTCGGTGGTAGCATTAACGCAACGCGTGGGACTTTGAGACCATTTGCATAGAACGGAGTGTAGCCGGTTGAGGCTTGCACAGAGTTATCTAGTGTAAACACCACAGCAGGATCATAGAGCTCCAACGCCTAGGCGTTTCAGCACAAACGCTGCTAAAGATATATATTTAACATCGCGATTTACGCGTTCAGTTTGACCATGGGATTGAGAATTATCCGATTTGAACATGTCAAATCCGCACATGTAACATATCCGCCCAAGCATGTAAGCATGTTACATGTGCGGAGGCACATGTAACATCTACGGAGGTTTTATTGCTTATCTGCAGCTTGAGGCTCAGCTTCTTCTTCCTCGGCATAGATAAGGTCCATGGGCTCGGCCCTATCAAGCGAAGTTGAAGCGTACCCATTGGTACCAAAGCGAGCCGCTTAAACGTTTATTTCAGCATTCAACGCCACGTCTACCGCTTCGAAAGTCGAAGAGTTAACGTGGAAAACTTCCGTCCTGGAAACCCCAGTGCGTAGTTCTTCCATATTAATTGTAACTTGGACCTTTCCGGCAAAGAGTTTATCTGCATAGCAAAAAATTGAGTTTTCAGCTCTTGAACAAATTCCGATAAATACTTCCTTCTTTGTCGGCAAGACAATAAGCGATATCACACGCGATAAGCCTGGTTAGGTGGTGCGAACACCCGAAATATATGCTGTTTTTTAGCAAACCCCAGGTGGGAAGCGCCACGTCTATGTGGAGAAGTGCTTTCCTAAATTGTGAAGAACCCAGGGGCCAGTTGGATTGAAGGGACAAGGGGCCGTGGACTAGGGAGAAGGGACCACGCACCAGAAAGAAGGGACCGGAGATAAAGAGAACCTCGTAGTGAAGCGACCGTTGGCTGAGAATGTGAAAGACAAACAGGAGAGGTCATTACCAGGGTACTGTTTAACCGGTACCGAAGAGAGTCGACCATGGCTCTCATTGGTCGACCCGGTTCCTCATTGGTCGACCCGGTCCCTCATTGGTAGACCCAGTTCCTCATCGGTCGACCCGGTCCTTCATCGGTAGACCCGATCTCTCGTCAATAGACCCGATCCCTCATCGGTAGACCTGGGTCCCTCATGGGTCGACCTCGGCCTCTCGGGGTTCAGCCACTTCTGACCAGTTAAAAAAAGGATCAGACCAGTCGACGCAAGGAATCAGAGCTTCAGGCGAGGATAGAGTAAAGGAGTTAAAAGGATAGGACAATATTAAATGATACTTAATTTGCGATCTACTTGGCAAGTCTTCGTTCCGCTGTAAAGGAACTCGAGTCTGGCCACACGCCTGTTCCGGGTAAGGGATATATTTGCCCCCCCCCCCCGTTGAAGACAGACGTGTGGTTAGACTTAAGTGCGAGCTGAACCCCACGTGGCACGACTTCGTCACCCAAGAAAAACTTGCTCTAAGCTACTCACTGTTCCGGGAAGGGATATATTTTGTCCCCCTGTCGAAGACAGTTGTGTAGCGAAGTTCAAGTGCGAATAGAGCTCCAGGATATATTTGGCCTGTGAGCTCGTTCGAGTAGCAACACCCCCCCCCCCCCAACACCCGCTATCGGAAGCGGTCTCCCTCACCTCACGGTCCGGGAGCAAAGGAAAGGTCAGGTGGTTCATACCCCTGAAACACGAAGGAAAAGGCCAGGGACGACAAGATCCCTGGAGAATATGGCTCTAAACCCACTCTCGACAAGGTCGATCGAGTGGCCACCTACCGGCCCACCGAGTGAAGCATATCCACTCGAGACCCCCCAGGTCTACCTCCCTCAAGGCAGACGTCTACATCCTCAACAAGTCTTTTGAAGAGTGCAACCCGCCAGCCGACGGGCACACAAGGTGAGAGAAGGTCCAAACGCGGCATCGAGGTACCCCCTCCAACAGTCGGCAGTCCAGCACAGTGAGTGGTTTGGGGTCTCATCATACAATTTTGAGAACCCACTCCACCACATCTACAGACGCATCGCACGCTAGTGCCCACTCTCGGGCCAAGCCGTTCAGCTTTGAAATGGTCAACCCACCCGCTGCTACCCCGATCTGAGTATAGCGGCGCTCATAGCCATTCGACCTCCCGAATCCAGAGGAGGAAATCCCCCCCCCCCCTTTTATCAAAGGTTAATTGATTAAAATGAGTGGACGAGCCTTTAGCTCTGAATCGGGCACAGGTACCGAAATATATTGCGTAGGCGCAGCTGACGCTGCTGGTCGCGATCCTGCCCGAATAGCGTTGCCTCATAACGCACGAAGGCTTTAAGGGGGTGCATTTAGAACATCGGGGCCTTAAGCCAAAAGAACCTCGACTTGATTGGGACCAACGAACGCAGATAATTTATCTAAGGCGAGTCGTTGTGCCTCAGAGAGGTAATTTAATTCTCCATCCTCACAGAGGGTCAGTCTTTAAAGACTCAGGTGTAGGATTGACTAAGAGTGCTACAAAGTGTAGCGGAGATACACAGCTCTTTAGCCAGAGGAAGACTTTTAGGCTGAAATCCTCTTCGTTCTATAGAACTAAATAAATTTACGGCTTAAAGCCAATTAGTTTTAAGGAACTAATTAAACGACTTAAATGTCACTCTGTTACAAGGAACTAGGAGGGACTTCTAGTCTACAAGCGATAGCTTAAGGTTCAGAGAAACTTAACGCACAGAGTGCAAAAACAAGCTAGAAACTTAGAGATTTTATTTAGTGAACCAACGCACGAAGTGCATAAGAGAGCAAGTCTTATCGAGACTTGCGATCTTAAACTAAAAATGAGAACTGATTTCATAATGCATCAAGATTTATAAATAATCCTACTCTAAGTACACTACACTAGATTAACTACTATAATAGTAATTATAATATGAAGACTTTGTTATTGGACGATGTATCGTCTAAACATCTGTGTATGATGTACTTAGTACAGCGTTATCGATTATCGAATCCTTATCGATAAGATACGGTATTACCGAACACCGTATCTGAACGCTCATACTTAATACCTCTCTAAAGAGAAGTATCAAGCATACATTATATGCAATATAGAAACATCATCGTAAACTTTCGGAATGATTTTCCAACCGTCCTGTAACCCCGATACACTTATCGAAGTAGGAGGCTAAGTTACCAAAACTTCACACACTGATAAGTCAAAGATATAAGTTGAATAGCGTCAACAATATGAGTGAGTGTTTACCTTAGCTTATTTGTACCTCTACAGAACTCTCTACGTCTTGCTTGCGCCTCTACCCATCTTGTGGATCCGTCCTCCAGAGAGTGGTACACCGACACAGCTCGGTTTTCTTTGTATGAAAGATGACGCCGTCAAGTCCAGGGGGGTGCATGGAGTGTATGCGGACCCTAAAAAAGGTCTCCAAAGTCACAACGTGCTCCATTGTGACATCTCAAAATTTTGGCATCCTTACGAAACACTTATACTTGTAATTACTCGTGCAAAAATGCAAGAGTCCCACATGTCCTTCTCTAGATCTTTAATTGCGTCGGCAAGCTGGCATTTTGCAACTTTTGAAGTCCACTCGCTCCAGATCGCAGTCTTACGGAACTCGTGTTTGCCTTCGTCTTCCTATCTTCACCACTAGCGATTCCACCACGAGAAAATGGCGGTCTCATACCACTGATTGATGTCTTCCGCGTCGTCGGTTTAATATCGCTAGCGTGGTCCCGACATTTTACCGTCGGTGGGTAGCCGCCGCAGACTGCAGTCTTAGGTCTTATTGATGGTATCACGCTTATCCAAAATGTATGTAGGTGCACAGCCACAGCTGGTTTGCCGTAGTAAGCAAAATGTAACATCTCACTCAATCAGTCCGTGCAAAACACGTAACAAATTCTAGCAACATGATAAAATTATGCACGTTTGTAAGGCAACACACACAACCATCATCACAAGCATATTTTCATTGCATGTTGTCAAAAGATTTCACGACGCTAGCTTGCATTGTGTTTCGTAGATGTTCCTGATGCCTCTTCCGCAAGTTCAAGTGCATTCTCCACAAAAAACGCCTTGTCAAACGCCGCTTTCTTCAGTGCGCCATTCTCATAGCTGGCCTTATAGGTCGTAAGCAGCTGCTCATCGTTCTTCCGAGCTAGCGACTTCAGTACCTTGAGAGCCTTCTCGTCTTCAAAAAGTCCTTCCTTGTGCAGCTTGTTGAGCATGCGCAAAACGTCGCTTGACGCCGCGTTCTCCGTAGGTGTTACCGCAACCTCGGCTTCAACAGCCCGATTCATACACGCCGGCTCGACATAGCCTTCATACCAAAAAGAAACACCAGCGTGTAAGTAATACTTAGTTATAGATAGCAGTGTCATTTACTCCCGACGATACGTACCTTCGATGCAGTGCGGATTCTCCTTGAGCACCTTTACAAACTGGTCTACATCCGCCTCCGTGGGCACAATAATGGCCAGCGGTTTGCCCGGAGAAATGTTATTGACGCCTTCACCTACCACTGAAGACCACAACAAACCATCAGCTGGCGTAGTCAACCCGTCTAATTCGTGGCATCGGCCACTCACACAGTCGCGCAATATATCCTTCGTCGCCAGACTCGAGTTGGAAAGACAGATCCGGCGTGTCAATCTGCCAAAATAGCAGCAATTAAAGAATATACCATCATCTCTCGCAGTCGCAGCACTTCCAGAGGTTTATCATTTTCTTGTTGTGGTCGTACCTCGCACATGTGCGTGCCGTCCTTCACGGCGACGCCTTCCTGCACGTACCACTTGGTGAGCGTCGCTTCTGCCGCACCACTGCCAACCTCCTTCCACCCATCAAATAATAATTTAGTCAGCTAATTGGTCCTAAATAACCATTCACTAGTCAACTGCAGTCAGTCGCACCCTGAAGTCCAGGTCAGGCATGCGAAACTTGATGTGGCTGGGCAGCGCAATCTCTTTCGCTGCCTCATTACACGGCGCATCACTCGTGGAAAAAAGCACAGCGGGTCGTCGTGCCATTACTCCCCTGGCGCATTCAGTCACCATCGCCGCACGTCGCGCCGTTTGTGCTGCTAGAGCGTGAGTCGCCAACCGCATCATTGCGCCACAACAGATATGGATAAAATTATTGGACTCTTCTAAAAGTTTGTGATCGATCAAAAATTGTTTGGTTGTCCAATAGCAATTAAGACCAAAATACTCTATCAAAACTAAGTCATAGGCTTGTAAAAAAACTGTTATATTTCGAACTTTTTTGGATCGCTGCCAATGGTTTCCAGCATGACACCCTTTGTGTGCGGAGAGCTACCGCAATTGGCGCTATCAAAAAGTAAAGATAAAGGAAGTGACAAGATGATTACCAAACAGAATTGTATTCGCGAACAAGGGTAGGAAGTGTTTTGTGACTGTAATGGATAACTTTGGAATGTATTGCACTGTTAAACATTTAGAGAGGCGTCCTATTAGCTACATAGATTGCTATACATGATCATTGAACAAGTTACAATGTGGATGCTATCGATCAAGCATCGCACGAATTGCGTTTGCCTAAGATAAGAAAGACCTTTGATAGCTTTTCGTTAAAGCAAGATCGTGGTGGGTGCTTCTGCACAACGTCTAATCTTTAACGAAAGCTTTCTATCGGTAAAGCAATGCACGCTGCAAAATTGACAACTAATGTATGGCTGGGCTCGTGACTGTATTTCACGCTCATTTATTCGTGCTTCTGACCTCGCGATGCAGCATAAGCTCACCATGTCAGCGCTGATGCCGGCGGTGGGCTATTCTTACGCTTCATCCGATTGAAGGCATCTCGCTCTCATGACGTTGACTTCACTTCTGCCGTTGCTAGCTGTAGCACTGTAGAAACTGGCTTCCGTTTTCGCTTGAGCTATATATTGTTGTTGAATCGGGTGAGCAAAGTTCTACAAATAGTTTGGAGCACCTGTAACGTATAGATTACCATTTTTCTACTATGATATTGCACACGTTTATAGGGGTGCATTTGTGCGACAAAGCTTTATTATTGAGAAAATTTGCAGCTCTGACTCAGATTCCGGTATTCCGTTAAAGCGTTTAAACGGAACCGGTAAAAACAGATGTAACCGGTCACCGAACCGTTGAAAATGTCTGCTTTTGGCAGCCACCACCAATGACCGCTCAAACATTTTAGAGACTTACAATTGAAATTTCTACCGAGATTGGAAGTAAAAAACATGAGGTGCGTCGTGGAGAAACTTCTTGACCGTTTGTTCAGGACGTGCAGCATTTATTCAGTATATTAACTCATTTGTTTGTATGTTTTTGCATTATGCTCTGTCTGTTTTTCGTAGCTACAGCAACATCGTCATTGAGAACACGTCCACGCTGGACTTGTCCCTCCGCCTGCGTGGTGGTGGTAAGGTCCACGGTTCGTTGGCACGTGCCGGTAAGGTGAAGGGTCAGACCCCCAAGGTTGCGAAGCAGGAGGAATCGAAGAAGGCGCTAACGGGCCGCGCTAAGAAGCGCTGGCAGTACAACCGCCGCTTTGTGAATGTCACGGCGGGCATTGGTGGCAAGAAGTTGGGCCCCAACTCGAACGCGCCCAAGCAGTAAGCAGACAATTAGTCAGCTGGGAGCAGTTGGTGGAAACGAAGCACACATGATTAGGTTGATGTCAATGACGACGACGCAGGTTTAGCTCATCTCCCCCGGATTGCAGGTATCATTGTGTTCGCTCGTTGTGATGGTGGTGATGCTGCTTCTTGTGGTGAGGTGGACATGGTAATCCTGCTGTCTTCAGGTAGTCGTTGATTTCTCGGAAAACGTCATGGCTTTGGCGCTCTCCCATATTCCAAAATCGATATGTTAAATTCAACGCTGTCTCCGTTTCGCTCGGGTTTGATGTTGCTTTTTTGCAATGACATGAGTCTTTGTCGAGTTTCATCGATGTTTATGCAGCGGTCACTTGTCTTCATGCTCAAGCGCAGGCGCATGGCTCCTTTTCTAGGTTTTATTTGTATTAGCTATATCATCAGGTTGACTGCCTGTGCCGGGTCTCGGGGGTATATTTCTTGTGAAGGGTATTCCATGTACAGCGATGAATCAGCAGGGTATGCGGAGGAGTCTAAAGTTGATTGCGACGGTGACGGCGAAGATGTGAGTGCAAAAGTGCCGATATTGTTGATGTGTGTGAGGTTACTGAGAAACGGTCAAAGACGCAGATTCAGCCTAAGGACTCATGCACGTACAAGAAAGAAGACGAAGAATGGTACAGTGTCGACTTATGGGCGACTTGAAGAAAAGAACGAAAAGAAATGACCTTTTGTTGAGCTCTCTTTGATGGCTAAGGTACCATTATACAATTGCTCTGCCATGAGCAAAATGTATACTCTGCTGACAACGCGTGAGGGTATGACTTCGATGACGTCTCCTTCGAAGAGCAGAGTCGCCGCTCATTGAGTCAGCAAACTGAAAGCCCAAGAAACTTCGTCGTGGGTTCTGATCTTAATTGGGATCGTCTATGATTAAGCAGCACACTCCATCACGGAACAACAATTTCTATCGTTAAATGCGCCAGTTTGTGGCTTCCTCCCGGTGTTCATTTTCCAGTAAAGGATGCCAAGGTAGCTTCACGATCTACCTATAGCACGCCGCATCCATGGCGGAAGAAAAAACAAAGCAGTCGCCATTATGCAGAGCAAACATTATTATCTTTTGTAAGGTAAAAGATGCGACGGCCACGATTGCGATATATGCCTGGAAGCGGCAGCTAAGTTTACTGTGGTCATTCTCCTGGTCGCTTCTATGCTTGTCACTTGTGCAGATCTATGCAATACGAGCCTTGCATATTGTGATCTCTGCTCAGTCACACGCCCCTACTTGAACAGGCCGTAAAATAATGTACTCTTTTTATTTTTTACGAAGTTCTTTAACCACATTTTCACATTTGTTTGTCATATATTGGGCTACAAATATGTTCTCGAATTTAAAGAGATGCTTAAAAGTGTAGAGAGGGCCAAACTAGCCTTAATAAACAAGTGCAAGCAATATTCTGGGACTTTTACCATCTTGCCGCATCTCTAGAGAAAGTATACTTCCAAAATCAAACTAGGGCAGCGCGTTAGATTTGTGGAATGATCGAGTACAACTAGAACTGCTAGGGGACATGTATTCAGGTGATGCTAAGGCTGTACATGGAGCAGTCGTAGACAAAATTGCAGCCGCACAGCCACAACAAACATTGCCTAATATGCATAAACACATAATACGGGGTAGAGAAACAATGCATTAAGAGTCCAAGGTTGCTCCGCATAAGTGAGTCACGCACCGCGTTGTCAATGACACACACTGCAGAACTTTCGGGCTATTGGAGCCAAGTATCAGCTAAAGAGTGAGTTGAGCGACAAATATTGATCGGGTACGTCTTTAATGTGCTAGAGTGGCATAAGTCCTAACAATTCAGATTTGCACGAAAGCGTGAGCTAGACGAGCGACGACGTGAGTGGCGACTAGGAGAGGGTGAGGCGTTGCTCTGAGGTGGCAGCTTTCAGCTTCTAAATGCTGAAAAGTCGTACTGTGCCCGCTTGACACGCACAAGCGTTTGCCGACGCCATCGCTGAGTGCAAAGAATTGTGCATGCAAAAGTTTGACAGAATGTTTACAGCACCACGTCACCAAAATCCCATGTTGAAGTATATTTGACTTGATTTTGTATTTACACACTTACTTGCTTCTCACTGTCTTGTCGTCTGGGGTATTCTTCGCGCATCAATCATCGCTTCGTGGGGCGAGGCTCATTATCTCAATCATTTGTCTTCCGTCCAGAAGCTTTATCGTAAGAAATTGTGGCTAGTGAGCTTGCTGTCCCTGCGTGTGCTGCTGTCCCTGCGTGTGCTGCTGTTATTGCTGTTACTTCGACTGGCCTTTTCGACGAGGGCAAGGCATCCTCCATTAGGCGACCGGCTGCGAGGACTTCTCGGTCGACTCGCCGCGCACGTGCGATAGAAGCCCACTTAAGAAAGGCCGTAAGCCGCTGGGTGTTGAAAGGGCTTCGTTGCTGGCACCAGCACCACTACCGGGGTCCTCCTTGTCCAAGCACACGCGGAAAACGGTCGACCCACTGATCGACTGTTCGAATGGGCTTTCCGAGATACGCTCCACAATTGGTAACTGCAACCCCAGCGGACGCTCTTCTTTAGTGACACCAGCAAGAGATGCCGCTGGTTTCACTTCCATTTCCTCCTGCTCGTCTGCCTCCATGTCCACATCTGCAGTCTCCTCCGTCTCCACCCGCTGCATCTTGGCAGGCGGCCACGATGTCATCGAATCCTCAGGCCTTTCGCGTGCTGTTGTCACTGGAACCTCAGTGATCGATTCACGCAAATAGCCTATATCGACCGGGTGTTGCTTGTAACTTGACAAGCGCTGTGCAGTGATTGCCGCAGCAGCCACCACACTTGCCGCTGAAATTGATGGCCTTCTTGCAGTGGGCGTCGAGGCCGCGCTGTTTGCTCCGGATTGGGGAGTAGAGCCCCCAGAACCGAAGCCGAGATCATGTGTACTGCGGGGCGTCAGATTGTTGGCAATGTATGACCGTGGTGTGTTCCTCTCCTTAGTGAGAACGCGAGGAGTACGTGTTTTTCGAGGCCGGCCGTGTCCTCGCCCCCGAGCATTATTGACCGATTGTGAAGAAGTCGTTGAACGTATCGACATATTAGATTGCGCGGAAGCGTCCGAATAATCTGAGAGAGTGCGCGGCCCACCATTATTCATGTAAAGATCCATCAGATTCATCTCGTTGTGTGCAATAGTACTGCTGGATGTAACGGAGGAGGTAGATATATCCGACATATTTCCATCATCATCGTGCCCATCCGCCTTTTGCACGCCCATGTTGCACACCGAGCAAATTCGAACGTTCTTGAGCGTGGTGCCTGGCACTTCCACTGACTTAAACACACTGCATTTACCACAAATGACCTCACCGCAGCTTCGACAATGGTGGCGCGGGCGGAATGTGCCAAAGGCCCGGCTGCACACAGCGCAATGCAGACGCTCATGGTTAGGCACCCATAGTTTCTTGTCTACAAAAGTACACGCGTTCATCTGCTGCTTGTCAATGATACGATTGATCTGCACGATGCTGTTCACTAGCTGCGACTCGGCTGTTTTAAAGGCCCATTGCGCCGGAAAGTAACCTCCAGGGTCAAATCGCGCCACGTGATGAACGCGCACTACATTCGGCTCGGCGCGATCGGTGCGGTACATGTATCCAGCAAGTATCTTTGCACGCACGAGTCCATGTGAGTTCTCAAGCGACGGGCACTCGTTGATCTCAATCGAATTGAGGATACGAATATACATCTCGTTGCCAAACGAGTCCACAATCTTGTCTTGCACCTCAAGACAGCAGTAGTCGCGATGAGAAACGATGGGCGTGGGCGTTTTGACAGCGTACCACTTGATACCGATGTACCTGAACGGCGTGAGCGGTGTGCGTGGTACGATCGTGGACAGCACAGCAGCATCCATCACCGCCGGGTTTTGTTTTTTCATGAGTCTTCTGAAAAGTGCGTCGTCGTGCGCCGCATATGCGCGGCCGACCTGATCTAGTGAGGCCGTGAGCTGGCCCTTGCAGCCCACCTCGGCAACATTGGACTTGTATGCCATGGGGCCGCGCATCTGGCCAAAATTGCGGTAGACAGCTACCCCTTTCTTCTCCCGCATGGGGATCCAGCTATTCTTGTGACAGTCGCTCAACGCGAAGACCTTGCGGATGGAGCCCTCAGCGAACTCAATGTACTGGCGCCGCATGTCCTCCGACACGCGTACATTCGTGTTAAAAAAGCCCTTGGGCAGTGGCAGTGACGTCGACATGGAGGGGCTTCTGAACTGTGGTAATAGAATGACTCGTAAAATCGAGTGAGCGAAACCTCGTGCGGTTGTGTATCGAGCTGTTGTCGTCTGGGGTCTTTTTGGTCGCAACAGGCGATGATATTGTCAGTGATAGCGCTTAGAGCTAACGGTTATTACCGAAGCGTCAGCTAGGATCGTATGGACAGCTGGCAAAGACTCACAGCAGAGAGTAGTGGAGCTGCGGGGTACAAAGCGGCTATTCTAAGACTCGATAAAACTTCTGGCCAATTACGGTGGCCAGTGTGCTGGTTTTGGACTGCCTCTACGCTGTCGATTGACACAATCCACCTAGTAAAATGTCTCTTTTATCACAACTAAATGAATTCTTTTCTGGCGTTGACTAATGACGCGATACTACTCTCGCTGGCAGTCATCGCTTGTCGCACAAACTGCATTAGCTACTGCATCGACAAGAAGATTCATTCCAAGAGGTGCTTTCTTCTTGCAAGATGTCTTTGCCCAAAGCATTCATTCCAGCTAAAACATCTGCATTGGAGCAAAAACATTTGCACAGTCACCATTGAATATAAACACATCGGATACTATTTACTCAATGATTTTTATATGAACTTCGTCATCTTCGTTTCCACTTTGGTACGATCGACAATTTGCATTCTTAATGAAAAACGACAAGCGTTTTATTTTCGGTGGTGCGGCGGGGAGCAAGTAGACAAGGGCGACTGGGTAGATGACTTAAAGGACGCAATCAGGCGAAGAAGATGTGCAGTTTCCCGTGGACAAGCTGCTGTTCGTGATGAAAAAGGGTGACGCGTGGCTGTTGTCCAGCACTGGCGGTGTGAAGAAGGGCGAGAAATTTGCTTTCATTGAAGCGCTAATGCGGATGACCTAAAGCTGCGGGGATGATCCGACTGTCTAGATCCTTGCAGATACGGAGACTCCAAAAAAGCGAAATAGACACGTGCTGGTGGTGATTTTGGAGAAAACTACGGCACCCTAGGACAAGAGGAAGCGAAACGGGTGGAAACACTACAGATACTTTATGCGAACAGGACAAGCAGTTTACAGAATCGCCATCGACTTGCGTGAGATGTGAGATCTATTGTTTGAGTCGTTTCGACAAACTGTAAAATTACAATTCTTCGTTGGCCTGTTGTTGATTTCTCAAATCTGGTTCGAACAAAGCTGACTTGTACTGCTTGTTGTGCTTCGCAACCAAGAAATCATCAGCACAAACTAGTACATAAACTTTTTTTTCAACTGATAGTACAGACATGAAAATGTCAGTGACCGCTGAGCCACGCTCGACAAGTTTTGTTCCGAATGCCTTTCCTCCTAAGTTTTTATTGCGATTTGAGTACAACGTACATATGTCCATTTGATTTGCATGAGTAGCCATCACCGTATGATCCTAATTTGAATAATCAGATAGATGTAGGCATAGACGAACACCAAGTCATGCATTCAAATATGCCGTATATACTGTTGTGAATGTGTCGAGTTTTTAGATTGAGGAGTGTTCAAAACGTAATTTGGTGAGATTGTCATCTTACTCGTACTTGATCTCCTTATGCTTACATCTATACACCGAAATTAAACGTAAGGAATCTTGCCCATACCATAGTTCATTCGTCTCCGCAACGTGACTTTCAACGTAAAAATATGTTGTACTCAACAGAGCATTCATATACGGGGTATGCTAAAAGAGTCGTGGCGAAGTTGATCTCCATACCTATGAACGAGATAGTACTACCACAACGAGTGTAATTCATACTATCTCAACAATCTAGCAACTAACTGGCTTGTGAGTGGCAACCGGGTGTAGAACAGGCCAAATAGTCTCGAAGGGGTTAAAGTAGCACCGTGTTTCATGATTCGCTACTGGAGCACATATTCCACTCTCAGAATGTCAACAAGATTCTTGACGACAATATCTAGTTGAGTTGTGTTTCTTGCACAGCTGTTCGCAACGCCATGTGTGTGTTGCATTTAAAACAATCAAGTGTCGGAACAAACATTGCGGTTTTTACAAATAGCACGGTTTCAGATGTTTCTTATTTCAAGTAAAGTCGCAGATTGACATCATCGTGCCGACTTCATTGTTTACAAAAAACGCGGTACATCTTTACCACAATTAATGCCCACTCTATGTAACCTTCGCTTGACTCCATGAACCTCTTCAACTGATGTTCTAGGAGGTGCGGTGTTTTCCTTTGGGCATAGTCCCTTAGCACTGACACGTAATGGACTTGTAAGCTGAGCAAAGTCGGCTCAGAATGCGATATATACACTGTATCTGATATGCTATACTCTACACATTCTCCTTCTGCGTGTATCGTAAAAGCAATAGATTGAACGCGCATGACTTCACGGAAGTCACTTACTTTACGATGAAGCATGTAGTTAAAAGCTCCTGGATTTACCACTAAGCCCAAATTACAGTAGGAAGACTAAGTGACCGTGTTTGTAACGGAGCGAAAGAAGTCGTTCACAGCAACCTTTTCTACGAGCGCTGCTCGATCGATCATGCGAAGTGCTGGCTATGTAACAAAATCCGTCGTCACTACAAGGACGCGGTAAATAGTTGATACGACGATTCCAATAATGGCCTAACGATCCCATTGCTTTGAGGAAGCGAGTTCTTGCAAAGCAGGTTGCTGATGAGAGAAAGAAGACACGCATAGAACCCAGCTTCTTAACGGCGGCGAAGATGGCAGTACAATAACGAGGAGATAGGAGTTCTGCAAGCGCAGCTTTCGTAAGATCGTAATACGCGCTCTTCATCTGTTTTACGAGTATCAACTTTTATCCGGCTGTTTTTGTGACGAAGTACAAGATGTCGTGTCCCAGCAATGTGTATATTTTCTTCTCTGTATTGTTAACCCTACAAAACCGCGACACTCACCTGGACAGTGTGCTAAGTGTGACAGTTTATGCTGATGGAAAAACCTTTCAGCGTCTAAATGACAACATTAGAATAAAATTAAATCGAAGCTCGTAAACTAGCATAATAAAACTACATTCCTTTCGAGTTTCCACTTTTTTCGCCGAGAATTAGGACTGAGCTCCTTCACCTTTTTCTCTTTTAGAGTAAAATGGCTCCTCCATTACGAAAATTCCAATTTTGACTGAAGCCATAAAGCTTAAAACAAAGTTAGTCGCTGTGCATCCACAGAATGCGCCAGCAATATTGCTGCAATTTGACTTGATCATTCGTTATAGTATACCGAGGCTGCACTAAAAAACCTATTTCACTTATACCTATAGATATGTACTATCACATTCACGCAAGTTGTACTGAGTCTGCATCAGAGTTTGACACATATACTGCTGCTGTCTTTCCCAGTGTTTTGCGTTCCAGCTGATGGCACTTTCGAATAAGTTTTGCGACGTAGCCACACCGTCCGCCGCACTTGTCATGCCGCGGCTTACGCGATTCACACTCTCACCTACCCTGCTCCTTCTCACATGCATTCGAAATTGGACAGGTGATGTTTGGGTGCGTGGTAGAATCAATACAACTAAAGAAGAATGGGTACTGAAAAGATTCACAATAATTTTACAGCTTATTATTATGCTGTGGTTTTCCACGAAAGATATGATTATGTCTCGCAGCAAAGTTGTCGTCACACCCCCCACGATGAAGAGTACAAGATTCGGATGGCAGTCGATGGTCTCTCCTGGAGCGAAATTGTGTCTTTGCTGAAATTGTGAGATCCGCTTCATCTTTTGGCTTAAGAAAGAAGACCGAGTCGCAACGTAGCAAAACTTCTCGGTCACTCCATTAACAATATTATTGGAGGCCTTGGATCAGACATCGTTTAGTGGCTTTGATGGGTTGTTGCTTTCGTTGTGTAGCTTACCATGTGGCCCTTTTGAAAACGGACCTAGACCAATTCAGTAGATTGAGAACGAAGTCAAAAACTACCACCGGGTAATTTACGGATTGAAAGCTGTAACACCGTTCCGCGTTAGCAGAATGCAAAAGGTGCGTAGATGCTAAACCGATACCATGTAATAACCCAACAGTGGGTTTATGACTCAATTGGGATCGTCTTTTGTTCAATCAACACACACACCGTCACGAAAAGCCAATTACGATTTGTCACCATGCATTAATTTGTGGCTTCCTCCCGACGTTCACGTTCTTGTAGGAAGCAAGGGTAGCTCCACGGTTTAACAAAAGCACGTCGCATCCATGGCGGGAGAAAAAGCAAAGCAGTCGCTTATATGCAGAGCAAACATGCAAGGCAAAGTTAAAAGCAAATGTGATGTCGTGGATGAAATCAAAAGAACGGCCTGTTCTCGTAAAAAAGCTTGTGACTGCGACTGCTTTGAGCTGACAGCTGTCGGCCGCGAATCGGGGTGAGATCATACGCGCTCGCTCGACGCGCGCAAGAGTTTGCCGACGTCATCGCAAAGTAGTGAGAATTTAGGCACACAAAAGTATAAGAGAGTGATTAAACCGTACGAGCCAACGCCGCTGTCTACGCGAGCATTGGTCGCTAGCAATCATCACGACCATTACGATACCCAATTTCTATGTTGAAGTATATTTGACTTGAATTATGTATGTACACACTAAACCAATGATCCTTACTACTCGTCTGGCGCATCAATCGTCGCGCATCAATCATCGCTTTTGCGCGGCAGACCCACGGTCGTGTTCAGTTGTTATCTGCACGCGACATTTATCGTAAGAAGATGTGGTTGCTGACCTTGAGTTTGGGCTGCTGTCTCTGCGTGTGCTGCTGTTGTTGCTGTTGCTTCGCTGGCCTTTTCGACGAAGGCAAGGTGTCCCCCCTACCCGTGCCCAGTAGGCGACCCACTGCAAGGACTTCTCGGCCGACTCGCCGCGCACGTGCGACAGAAGCACGGTAGTGAAAGACCAAAAGTCGCTGGTTGGGGCGGCCGCGTTGTCAGCACCCGCGCCACTGCCTGGGTCCTTCTTGTCCAAGGATGAGCGTTTGTATTGCGCTGTTGAAGATACAGTAAGATCATCTGTGGTAAGTGCAGTGTCTTGAAGTCAGTAGCCACCACGCTCAAGGACCTTCGTATTTGATCAATGTGCAATATATGGGATGTGATAGAAACATACGGATAATTTACCTCCTCCGTTACATGGACAACACAACAAGATTAATCTGATGGTTTTATTATAAGCAGTGGCGGTAGAATGCACATGTATGGCTGCCAAGACTAGAAATCTACTTGGTATTTATAAACTTTTGAGTGGAAAGTCACAGAGTTATCTTATAATTAATAAAGTAAAGCGAATGAGGCTACAATCATTTAAAATCAATTCGCACAAATAATTAACACGTATTCTTAAAATTAGTACTATGACATAAACGTTATATTGTAACAACGTTTTACACTGAGCTCGTACTAAGCAGCATAACGTTTCTATCGAGAGCTACACGTCGCCTGATCATAATGCGATTCTGCGTACCGTTTCTAAACGGCAACATATATGAGGTATTCAGGCATAATGTAATACGACAAGGTAGAGGACGTGTTTGCACGTCAAGTAATGCATCAGGTGAAAACATAGCTCTTGGCTAATGCAAAAAGGGCATCCAAACATTGTCAATAAAGAGACTAGATGTCATCAACAACAATGCAGATATCCGTCAAAAATAATTTCGAAACCGTTCATGGCATGCCGACAAGCTAACTTACACATGTGAGGGGAGTGTGAGCGGAGTATATACCAACTCAAATTCACCAAGTCATGAAAATCTTAATCTATCATCGCGATCACTATTTGTGTGACATTGTAGTAGTTGCCGCGTCAAGCTTAGTTTACGACTACCAAATTCACATGGGCTAATTGTCGACAGCACATTTACTTGTGATATAAAACCACCATCACAGCAAGAAAGCTTTATAGCAACCAGCAAGTTTTTTGCTAAAAAAAATGGTTGACAAAGCTTACCAGATTGGACTCATGCTCTCAATTAATTTAAACTGACGCAAATTTTTTTGGGCTTTCAGTCTGCTGACTCAATGAGTGGCAACCCTACTCTTCGAAGGAGACGTCATCGAAGTCATACCCTCACGCGTTGTCAGCAGAGTATACATTTTGCTCATGGCAGAGCAATTGTATAATGGTACCTTAGCCATCAAAGAGAGCTCAACAAAAGGTCATTTCTTTTCGTTCTTTTCTTCAAGTCGCCCATAAGTCGACACTGTACCATTCTTCGTCTTCTTTCTTGTACGTGCATGAGTCCTTAGGCTGAATCTGCGTCTTTGACCGTTTCTCAGTAACCTCACACACATCAACAATATCGGCACTTTTGCACTCACATCTTCGCCGTCACCGTCGCAATCAACTTTAGACTCCTCCGCATACCCTGCTGATTCATCGCTGTACATGGAATACCCTTCACAAGAAATATACCCCCGAGACCCGGCACAGGCAGTCAACCTGATGATATAGCTAATACAAATAAAACCTAGAAAAGGAGCCATGCGCCTGCGCTTGAGCATGAAGACAAGTGACCGCTGCATAAACATCGATGAAACTCGACAAAGACTCATGTCATTGCAAAAAAGCAACATCAAACCCGAGCGAAACGGAGACAGCGTTGAATTTAACATATCGATTTTGGAATATGGGAGAGCGCCAAAGCCATGACGTTTTCCGAGAAATCAACGACTACCTGAAGACAGCAGGATTACCATGTCCACCTCACCACAAGAAGCAGCATCACCACCATCACAACGAGCGAACACAATGATACCTGCAATCCGGGGGAGATGAGCTAAACCTGCGTCGTCGTCATTGACATCAACCTAATCATGTGTGCTTCGTTTCCACCAACTGCTCCCAGCTGACTAATTGTCTGCTTACTGCTTGGGCGCGTTCGAGTTGGGGCCCAACTTCTTGCCACCAATGCCCGCCGTGACATTCACAAAGCGGCGGTTGTACTGCCAGCGCTTCTTAGCGCGGCCCGTTAGCGCCTTCTTCGATTCCTCCTGCTTCGCAACCTTGGGGGTCTGACCCTTCACCTTACCGGCACGTGCCAACGAACCGTGGACCTTACCACCACCACGCAGGCGGAGGGACAAGTCCAGCGTGGACGTGTTCTCAATGACGATGTTGCTGTAGCTACGAAAAACAGACAGAGCATAATGCAAAAACATACAAACAAATGAGTTAATATACTGAATAAATGCTGCACGTCCTGAACAAACGGTCAAGAAGTTTCTCCACGACGCACCTCATGTTTTTTACTTCCAATCTCGGTAGAAATTTCAATTGTAAGTCTCTAAAATGTTTGAGCGGTCATTGGTGGTGGCTGCCAAAAGCAGACATTTTCAACGGTTCGGTGACCGGTTACATCTGTTTTTACCGGTTCCGTTTAAACGCTTTAACGGAATACCGGAATCTGAGTCAGAGCTGCAAATTTTCTCAATAATAAAGCTTTGTCGCACAAATGCACCCCTATAAACGTGTGCAATATCATAGTAGAAAAATGGTAATCTATACGTTACAGGTGCTCCAAACTATTTGTAGAACTTTGCTCACCCGATTCAACAACAATATATAGCTCAAGCGAAAACGGAAGCCAGTTTCTACAGTGCTACAGCTAGCAACGGCAGAAGTGAAGTCAACGTCATGAGAGCGAGATGCCTTCAATCGGATGAAGCGTAAGAATAGCCCACCGCCGGCATCAGCGCTGACATGGTGAGCTTATGCTGCATCGCGAGGTCAGAAGCACGAATAAATGAGCGTGAAATACAGTCACGAGCCCAGCCATACATTAGTTGTCAATTTTGCAGCGTGCATTGCTTTACCGATAGAAAGTTTTCGTTATAGATTAGACGTTGTGCAGAAACACCCACTACGATCTTGCTAGAAACAAAAGCTATTCGATGGAATGTCCCACTTTCCTTTACATTTTCTTCCTTCGACCATTAATGGCAATCGTGCTTCGAAGCCTTCACGATCAAGAATCATACAGTACCGATGCGATCAATGACTCAGAAAAAGATATTGGGAGCCTCCTGTATTTCGCACAACCGAGCGGCATCGTTTTTGCAACTATTGGCATTTCTTGGAGATAGATATTTGGAAGATGATGTAATTGTCACAATGAAACTGATGCAACTCCGAGAGACCGATATTTAGGATCCGCAAATACCTATAAGTTGATGGCATCATCTTCGAGGTCAGTGTGTAAAATTGATTTGAGATGCTGAACGATTGGTGCCTATCGAGTGCGCTGCCCTCGCCTATGAAAGACTGTGACGCAGCCCTTGCAGTCAATATCCCGAGGCGTTCTGATGTCTAAAAAATTCGTCTCCTAATCCCTAGCGACGATACTCACCACTATGATCCCTTATCAGGTAAATTTATTCACTTTTTTAAATAGCGCCACTGCTGTGCTTAGTCGCCGGAAGGTGTCGAGCAATTCCACCCACGATAAGTCCAAACATAATAACTTTAGCAGTTAGTACAATGCTACGCCGCAACGAAAGCGTTCTCTAAGAAAGAATCCGCACTAGCAACACGTAGCGCCCTCGTCTCTCGATCTACCTCGATGCTTCACTAATGAGCCTCTACCGCGTTTGTGGTGCTTTCTGTTTCCTTTTGCTATTCCTATCCGCACAAAATCGATGAGTTGGATGGGGCCATATTTTTTACAAAGCCCTCTTGAATGTACGACGCTATATTGTTGCCTTTCCTACTCCCTCTGCTTTTTCATTGATACAGCTAGAACAAAGACAGAAAGCTGAATAGCTAATGCATCTACAGCGCACCGTCACACAGCTTTTCATCTGTCAAGCAGTAGATAGACACTAGTGTCTACTTGTCTCCGAGGAGTATGTAAACGCCAAACGTTGCCATACAGCGTGCTTCCTATTGGAATGCTCTTGTCTACAGTATTCGTTCGTCCGTGCTTGATCCAGTAGAACTCTCCATGCGCCGACCTTGGCCCGTACCCGTCGACAGATCCCAGTCCGGATCGGCGCTGGCGCCACGACAGCCAGATAGGGCAGACGTACTGAATTGGAAGTTAAAAATGAGGTGCGTCTAGAATCGGAACTGATGGAACGATAGGTAGGATCAGTCCGAACCTTAATAGTTATCATCCACCTATTTACGGTCAATTGCAATTAGTGTAAAACTTTGTAGTGTATCCATGTCCGTCGATACTGAGGCTAAGACGCGCGCAAGATTGTTGTGAGATATGCCATTATCGTCGCCGTTGGTTTCTTCTCTATCCCATTTTTTGCGTACTACACGAAGGTGCGTCTTGGCTACTTAATCTCTGCAAGGGGTTGGGCTGACTGCTTGATGAGGGGGCGAATGTGACTGCTCAAAAGGACCCGATCAACGGATTACGAAGTCGAGGTGGAGCTCACACAAACAAACAGCGCGCGTTAGCTGCTGTCACCGGTGGCTTCGTGGCCGATGCTGCGACGATGGGGCTACACTGGATCTATGACGATGAAAAGATGAAGCAGCTCGCAGTGGCGCATGGCTCGGCTGGCCCCGAGTTCTATGAGCCGCCGTCTTGCCCCTTCTACTCGTACGAAAGCGGCGCCTTGTCGCCGTATGGGGACGAGATTCTGCCCTTACTGCAGGACGTGGCGGAACGGGGTGAGTTCGTGCCGGAGAAGTTTGCTATGACGTCCTACCATGCTGCTAAGACTTACACGGGTAGACTGAACAGCGTCTTCAAGGAAATGATTATCAAAGGTGACGCCGGCAATAAGTACCCTGACCTGGCATCTCCCAGCAAGGATCTACACGGCGGCATCAAGGCACCCATTCTGGTTGCAACCTATTATGAGGACTCATCGCTATTGCTGCAAAAGATACGCGAGGCTGTGCATGTGCACGAGATCGGAGCGGAGGCGGAAAACGCGGCGGTAGCCACGGCACTGCTACTTCAGTAGGTTGTGCAAGGAGTCGCCATCTCTGACGCTATAAAGGCACTTCCGTTCAACGAAGCAATTGGTACTGACACAGTGCAACATCTATTCAGCAAGTCATTGATGCAGTAGATGCAAAGACCTTTTCTGACGCCACAGCAGCTATCGCTCATTTTGGCAAATCGTGCTCGTTGCCTGGTGCGCTACAAGGGTCTTTGTTTGTGCTGCTGACCTCCGCCGGTTTTGTGGAAGCGTTGCGAGCTAACATGTTGGCGGGTGGGGACAACTGCAGCCGCGCCATCGCTATTGGAGCTGTCACTGCAGCCATGCAAGGTGGTGATGCCATTCCTGTTGAATGGAAGGAAAAGACCAAGGTTTATGCGCAAGTTCAAAGACTCGCAGAGAAGATTGTCCACTGAACAATTTGAAACAGTCCTGCTTCTCGAGTTTCAAGTAACGAGTTCGTCTCTTCACTCAGGTGTGGGCTGGATAGACTCTTGATTGCACTTTCGTTGATTGGCCGAAGTGAATTGGTGTTCAGTTGAGTGAAACACAGTTAAGGATACAAGGAGATTGCGGACTACATAATGCTTTGCACTTTGCTTTAAGCATTTATATACTTTACATAGACAACTTATAACAAATACGTGAATGCTCATAATGGATGCAAGTCATTTTGAGGATATGCATGTGTTAAGTGGCCATTCTATGCGTGGCAAAACATGTAGGTCACTGTCTTTATCAATGTTTTACGTTCGTCTTCCTCCATATAGGTCGGTGCTGTCATTCAAATCAGATAATGTATTACGACTTTTAAAGTGCAATTATGTAAGGGGGTGAGCCCATTACATAATAATGACACTTATATGAACTGCCTTTAAGAATATGATTATACCTAAATACTATTTATGTTTTCTTATAATATTGTTCTTGCAACTCCATGAAGTTGGAGATGTTCTCTAATTGGTTGATATAGGTCATTGAATTAATCAATGCGCTGACCAATAACAATGGACGTGCGTAATAGATATATGGCAAGTTGTTAACATACATGGTTGTAGTTTTATATAGCTAACACAGGTTAAAACAGATTAATCTGTTTAACTGTATTACATACAGCTCTCTATTTTCTTACAACTAAGCTCATCACATAGTCGTATAACTTCCTCTGTCTCCGTCCGTGTACGTAAGGTTTTGAGGTACCTGCTTACCTGTCATCAGTGTAGGTAGACTATACTGTTATCAGTATCGTCAAAGGGTGCCTCGTTACACCTGGTAGCACTTCGTGGTACTTTCAGCGACCAACGACTCATCCGCTATGGAACCAGCGGATGTGGAATGTCATCACGCATCGCGTGAAGACTTTCCACATTTGGGTGATCTCGAATGGCAAGCGGTGCAGCGTATGGATGCAATCGTTGGCGTTGCCGCATTCGCAGCCATGTTGCTCTCTCTCTAGTTTAAGATTAGCAACCATGCAACCATCGCCAGGTTCATTCAACGTGAGCTTGACGAAACGATGAAAATGCTTACCTTCCTTCAAGAGCAAGGTGATCGACCGACTCACCTGTTGAGAAAGCAACGCGCTCAACAAGCTGACTTGGTGATGTGGCAGTATTTTCAACAGTCTGGTTTGTTGAGATAACAGCAAGCAGGTGGTGCTGCTGATGCCGGGCCAACGCATATGCGCCAATCGGACACTTATAAAAATTGATGTCTGCAAGTACAAAGGAGTCAAAGTAACTCTTTGATGAATTAGTTCGCCGAGCTCGTCGATGCCATTGAGGATCGTCTCATCGATGACGATGCGATGAAGGTCGCGTTCACTATGCCGAACTTGTCTGGACGTGCAAAAGCCTTGGCCTTAAGTCTCAAGCTGCATAACCCATACGTTTTCACACTGTATAATGTCTTCAAGGCGCGGCTCAAAACACGTTCGAACCGCCTCGCGCCGAATTCAGGGCTTGAGCTGAGCTCTTGAATTTGAAACAGGGAAAGCGTGACATACAAGCTTACGCCCAGTACGCACGATATCTCGTCAGTTGTATGGTGCTAAACCCCTTTAAAGAACAGACACAAATTACTGTATTTGTTTATCAATGGACTGACGGATGATCCCGTCAAGCCGACCTGTTCCGCTTGGAATTGCAGACGCTTGATCAAGCAATCTCGGCAGAAGAACAGGAGGACTTTAGCCTTCAACAGGATCATGTCCACTCGGTATCCTATCGTCCACCGAGACGACAAGAGAGCCTTTGAGTGGATTCACGAGCAACGAGAAGATCCACAAATACACACAGCGCCGGACTGCCGACTTACGGAGGGGTTACCCCGATACCGTGTCGTGTTAACCTTGGGTATCACCTTGTGTACCCGTCGAATTGACTGGCCTTGCTCCTCGGTTGACGCAAAAGACTTTTAGACTTAATCTTTGTATGGAACTTGATGGTCTACGAATGAATATACTTCACTCGGGACCAAAATTGCTTGTGCTCGATCCAATGAGTCGAGAGCGATGCATCTGGCACTGCGTACACCTTCAGTGGTTAACGGCATCTTAACCCTTGGACCCTTTTTCTTCTTTCCCCTTATAGAGACCGCTTCCTGTAGCAGGCCTTGAGGTGATGCTACTCGAGACGAACTGCAATGGGGCAACCTAATACATAGGTAGTTATAGGAATAATACATACTTACATAACTAGGCATAGGGCAGTATCAGATTAGCGGATACTGCGCGTCATTTTATGATTGGTTTATTATTGGGGTGCCAGACCCAATAATTAGCCAATATAAATTGACTTCCATATTGAGTGGTTCCCATGAGCTAGGGAACATATTCGCACTTACTGCGAATTAAAAAAAACAAAAATAAAAGCAGAGTTATATTTACGAGTTAATTAAGAGCGTTTCCTCAACGCCCTTTTAGTGTAAGACGGTAAGGGTCCTTAGCCCGTTACACCTGGTAGCACTTCGTAGTCCTTTCAATGACCAGATTCGAGATGAACATGGGCGAGTCTTCGGTGGCTCCAGCGGTCTCGCTGGAGCATTCTGATTTTCCACATCTCACCTCGGTAGAGTGGCAGGCACTACATCGCCTCGCGGCGGTGTCTGGTGAAATTATTTTGACGTCGCTGCTGAGCACAGAGACGTCCGATGATCAACATGCCGTCATCCAAGACTTTATGGTGCGCGAGCTCGTCGAAGCGAATCGGCGAATATTGACTCCCTCGCGCACTTTGCACCATGACGCTATCAAGATGGATACGTCAACATACTCCGGCAACTATTGGACCGTCTCCTCCTGAATCGCTGATTTTTAATGAGGTGTATATTGCAATAGCGTCAAGATTAATCGACGCTTTGACGTCCAAGTTCAGTTTTCTGCTGTCTCGGCTTGTTGGCAAAGCCAAGGAATGGGCTCTCGGAAAGTTCGTCATAGATGAGTCGGCGTTTCCTACGCTGGACGATATCCAGCGTGACTTACGACTGGCTTTCGAGCATCCTCAAGATGAATCTCGCTAGCGTGCAGATTTCTTTTCACTCCGAAAGGGCAAGCTGTCTATGCATGACTACGTGCAGAAGACACGTCATATTGCTTCGTGCATTACCACGCAGCCAATTGACATGGCTTCACAAGTCCATGTCTTTATCTTTGGTATGCAGGGGGGCATGACGCATTACTGCCTCACACGTGCTGAGCCAAAGTACCTCGAGGAGGCATTTTCTCTCGCGCTTCGTGAAGATAACACTGTCGCGTTGTCCTTCCTGCACGCAGCGTTAAAACATCTGCGGACGTCTGGCCCCAGAGCCAATAGAGTTCGACGCAATCGAATCCTTTCTTGTTCACGGCCTAACAATTAGGCCGCGACTTCGCAATCCTAACACGATGAAGTGTTTTCGTTGTGGCAACACAGTCCATCGCGCGGCTGTCTGTCGAGGATGACGATGATCACAGCTTTCTCACAAGGAGATGCTGTGTCGTCAGTGGTCCCGCCAAAAAACGAGCGGTTCCAATAGGCGTGGGGTGCCCTACTGGCAGAAATGGAGCCCCGAGTACTCAGGTGGCAGCTCGGGCTCCTAGCCCTAAAGTGTTCATACTCACTTCAATGCCACCACCATGCGCGATGATCTGAGACTGATTATAATCAGTCTCATTGTTGATATAGTGAAGCGACCACTCCGATCGTTGTTGGATTCTGGCGCTTCCAACAACTTCTTTCGCCCATCCTGTTTGTCCCTTATCCCGTCCAGTGTCAGGGTTCAAGAATGTCCAGGTGACGAAGCGTATATGACATTAATGAAGTGTTTAATCGCGTCATACAATTTGCCTCACGTCAGGGTCGTGAAAAAACTCGCCACGACTAGTAGTCAGCACAGAGAGAGCGATGGCCCTCCGTGCGCGAAATATTCTGTTACACTAATGGAGAATCAGAAGGAGGACGGAGGTTCCCATATTTTTTACGAGGCGGTCGAACAGGGGCCTTCGCGTACAGGCTCATCGGACAATCAGAGGCTACCGATTAATAAAGAGGCGGGGGTTCTCGCGTGTCAGCACATTGAACGAGCAGAGGATCCCGATCAATATCGAGGCGGTCGAGAAGGGGCTCCTGCAAACAAGTGAGGCAGTCGATGACGAGCTCCCTCCTCTGATTGACGAGAATGGGCGGACTTTGGCCTTGCACGATACCTACATGATGAAGACAGAGCTCTTACGTCTAAAGGGGGGGGGGTACATCATTTACCTGTAATAACGACATTCCAGGCTCGAGAAGGGGCTCGAGACGCAAAAAACAAAGAAAGAAAGGAGCACGGCGATAACCGAGACGACAAAATGCACGTCAAAAAGCTGATGCAGATGATTTCGTAGTGACGGAACCCGTATGCGCGCTTGAATATGTGGAGTTGTCTTCACATCGTGGCCGCTACATTGAGGTAGCGAGCCCACCGTGCACAGCTGCAGAGTTCACATCTCCGTCATACCTTTCATGAAAAGATGTCCTTCACGAACTCAATTCCGGCGACATCGAACAGGGTTGCATCGTTATAACCGCTGAAGCAGCCAGTGAAGAAGTTCTGTAGGCTCGCTCAAAAAGCGCTGAGCCTAAAGTAGCGCGCAAAGAACACTTCGCGACACATTCTTGGGATGCTCTTCGTGATTCGGGCAACCCTGTTTACGATATCGCCCGTGAGTACGCCAATATTTTCCCGGAGAAAATTCCAGCTGAGCTTCCGGCGAATCGTGGTGTGCGGCACGAGATCTATCTCGTGCCAGGATCGAAATACGGCAGTGGCCGTTACCGTGCGACCAAGTCATCGCTATTGATTAATTCTTCGAGGGTCGCCGCAAGGTTGGTCATGTCCGCGAGAGTATCTTGCCACATTCGAGCCCTACTTGCTCTGTGAGGAAAGTCACCGGCAG